AAACTAAACTAACGTAAACTAAACTAACACAAACTAAACTAACGTAAACTAAACTAACGTAAACTAAACTAACGTAAACTAAACTAACACAAACTAAACTAACGTAAACTAAACTAACGTAAACTACACTCTGAACTTGCAGATGCGCGGTCACGTGGTTCATGCAGCTCCCAGTAGTTCCAAACAGTTCATCCTGTCAGTCAGTTTGAGCGGCTGCTGGCGCAACATAACACAAAAATCCACTTTTCTTACTTTGCCCGGTGACTTTTGACTTTGCCCTCCCAGACAGCCCTCCAGAACCGGGTCCGGCAGATGGAGAACATCCAAGGTTCCCTCGTGGAACCGAACGGGTCCGTAGAGTTTGGTCTATGCAGGCAGATGGAGGATCATGGAGACAGACGCCATGATAGGCCTGAGCCCGAGGCTGGAAAGACTGATGTCATGATGTCATGATGTAATGATGTCATGATGTCATGATGTAATGATGTAATGATGTCATGATGTAATGATGTCATGATGTCAAGGCAGCGACAGAGAAAAGTCCACACGTGTGGTGTGTGGTGGAGTGGTGGCGCAGAGGTTAGAGAGGTGGGCCTGTGATTCGAAGATCGCCGGTTCACGCCCCGGCCCCGACAACATCAAAATTGTGGGTGGGGTAGGTGAAACACCCACACTTGCCCCCACCATCATTCGCCCCACTCTGGGCCCATGAGCAAGGCCCTTAACCCCCACCATCTGCTCTTAAACAGGTCTCTCTTGAAAATGAGTACTCGTGGCTCAATGAGACTAACCTGGATAAATAAATGCTAAATGAAGAAAAAATAAATAAATGTGTGTCGCGGTCATACTCGTACTGTGGATGTGCAGTGTAGGTGCAAATAAAGTTAAAACAAAATCAACAGGAAGAAAAAAGATGGAGTTCACGGGGAGCCTGTGAAGCTGCGACTCGCTGAGTGTGGCCATCTTGGCCTTTTGAGTCAACGTTAAATAAAAACAATAAAATCTTCTGGTGTACAACACATTTGGTTCAGAGTCCTGTGAGATTTAATCTTGAGCTCTGATGATAAACTGGACTCTGCTGCTGCTTTAAAGGTGAATCAGTAAATAAAAGACAGAAATATATCAATAGATGTGATCAGGATGTAAACGATAGAAATATA